ATCCATCCATCCATCCATCCATCCATCCATCCATCCATCCATCCATCCATCCATCCTCTTCTTTTCAGAGTCACTGTGTGAGGGGAGGGGCATAATAAAATAATCCATCAGTAATTATTGACTTCTCCTGAGAGAATTCATTTTAAAACGTGGATGTATTATCTTATAAATTACATGAACTTGTTGACCGATGGCAAGAAACAACAAAGAAAGCAGAGAAAGCTTTGTTTAGGAGGAGTTTTTGTTTTTTAACACTTTATTTATCCTGTTCAACTTTAAACAGATCAGCTGCTGAAACCACTTAAATGTTTGTAAAGACTTTAAAGAAAACAAACAAATAAACAAAACTAAATAACAAACAAATGAAAAGCTTTACAGGGTTAATTATTTAGTTGCTACTGTAACAAATTAATCTGGTATCACACGTGCACGCGCAGAGGCACGCATGAGCACAAACCCTAGGAAAAACGTCAGAAGCATAAATTGTTTTTTTTAAAAACAACATTATATACTTAGTTACACTTAGTGTATCGGTTATTCACATTATTTTGAAGGTAGAGTTAAAAAACGGTTGTGTACCTACCTCGTGTTGTTAATAAAGTTTGTTGAAATCCAAGATGGCGGCGCCCTTGGTGAAGTTGTGATTGAGAGAAACAGGTCGTTTATTTTGTTTTTTAACAGCAGAACGGGGTGTTTTTCACATTAATAATAAGTTTTATGGTTGTGTGAGGACGGCGCGGAAACAGAGGACCTGAAAATAAGACAGTAAGTATCTTTAAAAACGATATTTCGTATTTTGTTCCCCGTCCTTTTGATTCAGTCAGTTACAGCGACTGATGAACAGAAAACGAGATAGAAACCAGACAGAAAAATATAAGATTAACTCAGTTTATGTATGTTTGACATAGGAGAAAAACGTGCTGTATAACAGAACAACGCGAACTAACTGAGACACAGAAGCACTTCCCTAATATCTGTCTTAATTGCAACTAGGCAGTTTTTTTTTTTTGGAAATAAAATGCAGCAGCTAAGAAAACAAATAATCTAAGACAGTGGTTCCCAAACTTTTTGTCTTCTGACCCACAAAATATCCATGGCAAAAACTTGTGACCCCAAATATTACTGTTCTGAGTACATGAACTTCGTTAATAACCCTAAAACACAGGCTTTTTGACAACCCAAACAGCTTATACACAAATATAAATACTTATTTTTACTTATTTTGTGGTTTTGTAATAATTACAGGGAAAATATTACATCAGCAATTATTTTATTACCCTTTAAATTGATTACTGGAGATTATCCAAGGTGCTTCATGACCCATAGGGTCCCGAGCCCAAATTTGGGAACCAAAGTGCAGTGGTTCCCAAACTTTTCAGCTTTTGACCCACAAAATAACAGTAGCAGAGACCTGCGCCCCCAACTATTTTTGGATGATAAACATTTGTATCAGGTCAAC